CTGGGCTTCCTCTCCTCTATCGTGGCTTCAGTCAATAAACATCTATTAAGTACCTACTACGTGCCAGGTACCATGCTTAAGTTCCGGGGATAAAAAGAAAGGCAAAACACAGATTTGAGGCAAAACATTAAGGAGTTCAGTCTCTAGAAAGACATGGTCACTTTTCCCCCAGGTCACCGTCATTTTGCCCTGGCACCCAGTTCCTCCCCAATCTAGAATAGAATTTCCCCTTAGAGTTTCCCCCACCTTTTCAAGGATGACATTATCATTAAGGCAAGTCAAGAAGTTATTAGCTGTTCTGTTTTTGACAAAGAGATATTTGAAGTCTCCTATCACTATATAGGGATTGTGGTCTGTTTCCCAAACTCATCTATTTCCTCTCTCTACCCAGGTGACCTGTAGTATTCCAAAGCCAGTCATACTCAACCCCATCCCGATGATTCTGAACCCTCAGCCGAGATTTAAACTCCATTCTCCTTCCCCCACCAACAGCTCCTTTATTTCTATCCCCCTCACTTGAACTCTGGGCCCAATGTCTCACTCTAAAGCTACCCTTTTTTTGCCGCAGTGCTCTCTGGAATGCCTGCTCCATTAGTAACGAACTTACTTTCATCTTAAATCTTTCCTTTCCCACTCCTTCCATCTTCTGACTCTCACTGAGGCCTGGATCCCTCCTGATGATACAGCTTTCCTTGACCACCCTTTCCAGTACTAGCTGTACTTCCACTCGTTTTCCCCTGACCAGTTAAAGTAGAGTAGTCAGATACCCCTTTGCATCCCATGGCCGCTTCCAAGCTGTTTCTCTATTACCATCACTCAATCACCTCTCTTCTTTTGAGTTTCATTCCATCCATATCTACAACCCAATCAAAATTCTACTAGCTGTTGTTTCCTGAACTCCAAGACACTTCCCTTCTTTCTTTATATTAGGACCCTGTATATACACACACATGTGCACATATACATATACATATAATATTTTCCTTATATGACAGCCCCTATAACATACACACACACATACATACATATATACATATACTATTTTTTTTAATATTAGGGCCTGGCTCACAGTCTTTCTCTGCTGTCATACTAGGAAAGTCCAACATACGTACTGATACTCCTTCAAATACCCTAACCTCACATTTCCCCCACTTCCCTACAACTACACACAGATGGTCATACCATTGATCTTGTCATTACCCACAAATGTGTCACTTCCATGTCTAAGAACTCTGAAGATCCCTTATCTGATCATAATCCATTGTCATTCCACCTCTCCATCTGCTTCACAGTCCCAAATCCTGTTCTTCTGCCTCATCTTGACTTCTAATCCCTTCACCCATCAGTCCTTTCCCAGGTCATCACCCCTACATGGGCCACACTCTTCTCCCTTCCATATCGTGACTCTTTGTTTAATCAGGTCAACTTCACCTTGTCCTCTTCTCTAGAATTCCTTGTTGTTTTATCCTATAACCAATCTTTCCCTGCCAAGCTCCAGCCTTGAATTACTCCTACCATCTACTCCCTTTGCTCTTGCTCACTAGACTTCCAAATGAAGCTGGAGAAAAATCATGAACCAGGCTAACCGGGTCCACTATAAACATGTTATTTAATATCAACTGGGCCCTCTCTGTGGTAAGGCAATCCTTTTTAGCCTCCTGGAATGACTTGCTATCGCATTATCCACAATGGCTTTTTCCAACATTTTCATGCCTCCTCAAGCTTCCTATGGCTTCGGCTCCTCCCACCCACTCAACTAAGCACTTCACCTCATATTTCACTGAAAAAATGAGGCCATTCACTGAGACTTCCCTCTTTTCCCCCTCTCCTTCTCTCATATTACCCAGATGCTGTCTGCCACTATCTCCTCCTTTATTCCTGTCTCACGTGCAAAAAATGACCCTTCTCCTTGCCAAAGTGAACCCTTCTACGTGTACAAGTGATCCCATTCGATTATCCCCACTCTCTTAGATATTTTCAATCTCTCCCTACCTACCGACGACCTTCAAACATGTCTCTCCCAGCTTCAAAACCCCTCACTTGCTCCTTCCACCCATGCTAGCTATTGTCCCATTTCTCTCCTCCCTTTTGTTGCTAAACTCCTCGAGAAAGCCACCTGTAATTGATGCCTTCACTTCCCTTCCTCTTCCTCTCTTCTTAACTCTCTGCAGTCTGGCTTCTGACCTCATCATTCAATCAAAACTGCTCTTTCTTTCCAAAGCTATTGATGATCCCTTAATCACCAAATCCAATAGCCTTTCTCAATTTTCATCCTTCTTGACCTCTCTGCTACCTTCAACACTGTCAATTACCCTCTTCTCCTTAACATTCTGTTTTCTTTAGGTTTCTGTGACACTGATTTTTACCATGGTTCTCCTCCTACTTTATGTGACCACCCCTCAATCTCCTTTGCTGAATTTAGATCTCACTCCCTAACTATGAGTGTCACCCTAGGGCTCCACCCTGGCCCTCTTTTCTTTTCCCTCTATACTATTCATTCGGTGATCTCATCAGCTCCCGTGGATTCATGGATTCAATGCTCATTTCTCTGATAATAATACTCAAATGTGTATGTATGTATGTATGTATGTGTATACATATATCCAGCTCTAACCTCTCTGATGACCTCTAGTCTTACGTATTTAGCTGTCTATTGGCCATGTTGAACTGTATGTCCTATAGACATCTTAAACTCAAGATGAACAAAACTCATACTCTTTTCCCCAAAACCCTCCTGTCTCCTAGACTTTCCTATTACTGTCAAGGGGACCACCATCTTCCCTCTCAGCCAGATTTGGAACCTAGCTGTCATCCTCAACTCTTCACTATCTCAAACCCTCCATATCCAATCTATTTCTAAAGTCTGACGATTTTACCCCTCCAGCATCTCTGATACATGCAACCTTCTCTCCTCTGACACTGTCACTACCCTGATGCAGGCCCTCATCACCTCACACCTGGGCTATTGCAACAGCTGCTGGTGAGGCTGCCTGCCACAAGGCTCTCCCCATTCTAATCCATTTTCCACTCAGTGACGTTCCTCAACTGCAGATCTGACCATGTCAAACCCCAAGTCAATATACTCCAGTGGCTCTTTATTGCCTTCAGGATCAACTACAAACCACTTTATTTGGCAATGTTCAAATCCTTTCCTAATCCCCTCCTCTACCACCTTTCCAGTCTTCTTACCTCTTATACCGCCCCATGTATTCTGCTTAACCAGTGACACTGACCTCCTGGCTCTTCACAGTGACAGTCCATTTCTTAATTCCTCATCTCTACCTTCTTGGTTCCCTGGTTTCCTTCAAACCCTAACTAAAATCCTACGTCCTACAAAAATCCCCCTTCAGTGCTAATTTCTCTCGTCTATATCTTGTTCGTACATGGTTGTTTGCATGTTGCCTTCCTCATCAGATTGTGAGCTCTTCAAGAACTTCTTGGATCTTTTATCTTTCAGTTTCACCAGCACTTAGCACACAGTGCCTGGTACATACTGCGGTCTTAATAAATGCTTGTTGGCTGACCACTAACTCCAATTCTAAAATCCATTCTGTTTCTCCCACCTCCCTCATTGATCTTCACCCCAAAGCTCTCCGCCATGGATTTCCACACACTTTCTTAAGCCGACACTCCCCATCCCCTTTACTTTTTGTTGTGGTATAGATGGAAGCACCTTGGGTTTTCTCTTCTTGACATTAGTAACTCCATTTAAGAACAAGCCTTCATTTCAGTGCCAACAGGTAGTCACATTTAAACCCTGGATTTTGCCTTCTTTTACAACAAATCTCGGCCAATGCCAACCAAAAGATAGTGTCTGCTCTGTCTCACATCCCCTAATCTAATGACAGACTAGTAACTTAAGAAATCTCTGTCCCCTCCCCGGGAATACAAACTACTTCTAAGGCCAATGGGTGACCAGCTATGAACCCAACATTACTGTCTTTCCTGTACTCTTTAAGTACCTATGAGAACTGGTTCATATTCAGAAACCCCCTTACTCTATATAAATTTCCCTTCTTTATGGTCCAACAGATATTTCTCCCTGCTTTGGCTTACGATTATGACTGCCTTACAATTATGAAACTTTTTAGTGACTTGTACCCTAAATCATAAGCATGGGGTTTTCTTTCCATGACACTCTTTAGAGTAAAGTATACCCATCCAGAGCCATATTTCATCATTCATTCATCATAGTCATCGGTCTCACCCCACCAAGTCTTGGGGATCCCCATGAAGTCAAATTGGCCTTCCTGCATTAGGTTCTCTTGATAAACATGGGCATTTGTGGGTAGGGGGTTTACTGCTGGCTCCTTTCTTGGGTTTTATTTCCCATGAACTTCTGGTGTCCCAAGTGCCATTTTTCATCATATATATTTACTTTTCACCAGAGAGAGAAGGATTTTTTTTCCTTTTAATTCTCAGTGGATATTTTGGTAGATATACACAGACATCTCCTTCACCTCGCCCCTCCCTTATCCCTTATCTCCCTTATCCCAGCACCCTCTTCTCCATCCCACTGTCCTACTTAGCCTCTGGGGAGATTTGCCTACCCTAAGTCAATAAAGTGGGAGTTGAGTGGGGTGGGGCAGGAGGGCTGACCCACAACCTTGGGAATACTTTCCACTGGGGTCAGCCAGAACTTTCCAATAAGAAGTGTCATTCATTCCTAGTACTTCTCTTTGGAAAAACCTGTGTTCCTCCTCTTAACCTGTTGACCAAGGAAGAAGGCTCTTCCAAGGGTCTAAGGCTAGGTACAAGATGGCGCTGGACAAAATACACTCAAGTGTTTTGAAAGGGAGTTTCCCCCCAATAAAGTTTATTGATTTTTAATTTAAAACATGCACATCCAGGGCATTCTCCAAAGTACCACAAACGTCACACTTCAAAAATTATTCCAACAAAGACAGTTTACAGCAATACTGAACAAATACATGGTTCATTCCCCTGCCGATTCCCTCAGAGGGGATGGCTTGACAGCAGCTTTACCAACTAGGGGTTCATGAACTAGAATTTATTTTTGTCATGCAAAACTCTCAAATAACAATTCCTCTCTGCCCAGTGACTTAGAGCCGGTTCAGGGCTGCTGGCGAAACCGCGCAAGTGGAGGCCGAGGCTGGTAACATCTAAGACCTGAGGATATTGAATCCCCAACCCCCAAATGCAGCCCTCACAAGGCCTGGCACAATGCTTACAATCCTACCATTCAAGAGCCATCTTTAGGGGTCTTGAAGACTTTGGAGTCTTCAATGGTCCCCTGCAAAAGTGTTAACACTTTATATTGAAATTACATTAAGTTACAATATAGATTTCACATTAATAAATACTTTAACACAGTAGCACAAACTAATTCTAAAGTTTTGTGGAGAGCTCTGGACAATATAGATAACATTAAGTAGTTTAAATAAGGAAACAGAGAAACACAGCCCCGGGAAGTTAAGGGATATGACAGGCACCCAGGAAGAGAAGGGAGGAGGTGGGAACTAGAAGAAGACATGGAATGTGAGGGAAGATCCAACTTTGGCCAATTTCCCAATTTTGTCCCTAGGTTCTGACTCTAAGCCCTGCTCATCTTCTGATGCTCCATTTCTTGGGAGCAGCTTTCTCTCCACTTGGGTCATCGAGTTACTTGCATGCGTGAATTTGGGACCTCCACCAATTGGTGACTTGAAGAAGGGACTTTGAGCAAGATCCTGACTTAAAAATCATATTAATTTGAAAATGATTTGTTTTGTGCTTTTCGTGGTCTGAATTGTGCTGAAATTTACCCCTCAGGTTGTGCCTCTCAATTTGCGCCTCTTTCCTGCCCAGCCGGGCAGTTCCATCATGGAAAATGTTTAGCTTGGATCTAGCCTTTGCTGCTCATCCCTGCCTGAGCAGCAGCAAGAAGGACCCAAGCCCCTCCATATTATTCAGCCACAAGGTAAAAAAGAGGCTTCTGCAAAGGGTTCCCCCAGCCCAGGCTATTCCCAGCCCAAAGGCTAGTGAGGCTTGGGACTGAGGGAAAGACTGCCTCTTTCTGTGGCCATGATCCCTTTCCCAAATCCTTCTGCTCTGTCCCACATCTGCCTTCTGGACAGTCTCTCTTCGCCTCTCACTGGGCTGGACATAGATGCCAGGATATCTGGCCATTCCTATACCCCTCTTCTATGCCCGGCCACCTGCCACGTGGCAAGAAGGCCTGGGAACGGTTCAGTTAGGTGCAGAAGGTAGAGGTCTTTCTCTCTAGTACCAACTTCTTCCCAAGCCTTTCCTGGAGAAGATGGACTCTAAAGGGTATATCACATTTTGTCCCTACATGGTCCCTACCTGTTCTATCTGGGAATAAATACTGAGCATAAAAAGTCCCCATTAATTGTGAACGAATGATCTAATTAAAGAAGGCTGAAATCTCAGGGAAATTGTTGCACTCCTAATGTTTCCCACATCAATATCCCAGTGAACGGGCCTGTTGATTGATGGAGCTCCAGACTGGACTAAAGGAATTAATGAGAGCAGGGCATTTCTTGTTCTAAAGTGGCCCTCAAAGGCCAAGGGGAAAATCTGTCATGGGAAACTGTCTTGGACCAGAAACAGTTGTTTATCTTTTAATCTTCTTCTTACCTCAGTGCCACTCTCACCCAAGGCTGGTTTGCTAAGGCAGGCTGGAGAGCCCTAGCTCTTTCTAGAAAGAATCTGACCCAAGGCCCCAGAACTCCCATGGAGTCCTCCTCCTTCCTTCCTTCCTTTCTTTTTTTTTCTTTCTCTCTCTCTCTCTCTCTCTCTCATCTACCTTTCAAGGTCAGAGAAACAGCCAAAGTTGTCAACATACTGGGTGGGGGACGGTTGCTATTTGGGGGACAGAGATATCTAATGGGGATCTGTGGTATCTGCATGCTTGAGGTTGGGGCGAGGGAGATGGAGATCCAGGCTGGGATGGGGAATGGTTGGAGGATCATGCAGGTAGTGGTATTTAATTGAGACTTGGGGTCTTAGATTAAATGCAAAATTGAGCTGATGAGTCCACAAAGTACAAGAACAAGAGAAATCCTCAATCCAATGATGATAAGGGCATAAGTGTCAGAGCCCAACATGACCGCATGTCCTGTGAAATGGTCACTGATCAGAAGATCTGTAGGGGTTAAAGGGGAAGAATAATGCGCACTGAAGGCAGGAAAGGTACAGAGCACTGGCAACAAAGCGACCTCACACCCTGGGGCAAAGAAGGCCTCATATACCTGTGGCATCCCAGCAACATTTCGAGCTTTCCTGGCAAGGGTCCCAGGCACCCATCCCCAGGCATTGGAGGGGGAGACCAGCTGGGAGTACCTGGGTGTAGTGGGGTGTGAGGGGGCTACAAAGAGAGGGAATTCACGACATCGTGAGCTACCTTTTCAGGAATGTCTCCCACTGGGTGTCACCTCAGGCTCCAGGTACCAAGCAAGGAGTTGGGACTGGGGAAGATCATGCAGGTATTGGGGTGGGAGGATTACTGGGATGCAAAGTGAGGGAAGCAGGCCTTATGTGGCCTTAAAGAGCATGTGGATCAACACAAGAAGAAGAACACAGACAAAAAAGAGGGTTCAAATACCCGGTGTCACTGCAAGGTATGAGTTCCAGGGTCCAGTTAAACAGTCTGCAGTAGGGAGATTCACAAGGGCTGAAGGGGGAAAACACGTGAGACATCAGCAATAAACAGACTTTGACTTCCAACTCAAGCATCTGCCTCTGGCTCAGTTTCCTCATCTTTAAAATGGGGAGACTGGGCTCCATGACCTTGAACATTATTTCTAGCTTTCTATGATACATTCATATCTTTTTCTATGACACAGTTGGGATTGGAGGTCAGGGTGAATTGAGAGCACCTAGCTGGGGAGGGGAATGAAGAGAAGGCAATTTCTGCCAGTCTATGTAAGTGCCAGCCTGTGTGTGCGGGGGAGGGAGTATGGTCAGGGTTAGAATCACCCCAGAATTCAGGTCAGGGATGGCAGGGGAGAGGATGGAGTCAGGGACACAAAAGCTAGGGCTGAAGGTGAGGGGAAAATGGGGCAAGGGTGGACTGGGGTGAGGGCAGACTAGGGCGAGGGCAGACTAGGAGGAAGGCATTCATGTAGAATGCAAGGAGAAAGCCACACACAGGAGAGAGCACACAAGTGCACATGCAAATACCGGAGGGTAGCACAAGATGGAAAAATGTCACTCCACGCAAGCTCTTCAACATCAGGTCGGGTGATCAAAGAGCATAAGAAGGCAGGTGAGTTACAGTTGAGACCAAGACTCAGGAACCAGAAGATCGGCAGAAGCTACACAAGGCAAAGCAGGCAGGGGGCACATGTAAGGCCCCAGTGGGGAGGATATCTCCCACCTGATTCCACCCCCCTGGGTCTGAAGGGGGAGGGGTAAGCATCCGGCTAGAGTAGGAAACATAAAGGTTCGAGAGGATGGTGAGTCCTGGTCATAGAAGTGGTGGGGGGGGGGGAGCAGGAAAGAAGGTGGATAGAGGGGCACATGTGGGTTCCTCAGAGTGGTACATCTCTCCCTTCTCCTTCTTGCTGGTAGGTAGCTGAGTGGAGAAGAGAGTCCTGGAGTAAATCTGGTCTATAGAGCTCTCTGGGGGATCTCTGGTGGATTATGATCCATGAAGGGCGCCTGCCATCCTGGTTCCCTCTCTGAGAGGGTGGCTGGCCGGCACCCGAGATGCCCGATCCCTGGCCTGAAGCATACCTATTCCCCGCCCTGTCCTGTGCCCTAGGCCCCCCGGACATGTGCCCTGGCTGCCAAGGGGAGGATGTCTAACTCTAGAAGCTCTTCATCTCCTCTCTGCTCTACAGGTTGCCCATTGTTGGCACCTGGGCCAAGCTGTGGGCCTCCTGAGCTGGGAGCTCCAGGAGGGACTCTGATAGCTCCAGCCAGGCCTCCAGGGAAATTATCAGGGCTGGGGGGCGCAATCGGGGAATTTGGGGGATCTGATCTCCCAGCTGGATGTGTACCTTCGGCGACACGTGGCCCTCGGACACTAAAAGCCTGATGTTGTTCTCGAAATTCTCCACCCCGCAATGCACGAACTGAACGTTGTGCTGGTTGATCAGGGCAAACCATTGGCATGCAAAGGACACAGCACTCTTGGTCTTGGCGTCTGCACTGGCAATAAGTGCCACATAGAAACTGAGGGGAAACGAAGACATGACAAAGACCACAACGAGGACAAGGAGGAGCATGAGGGTCTTCCTGCGGTTGGGGACTGGCGGGACGACGTCTTCCAGCTCGAGAAACTGCATCTCTGCAGCAATGGTAAGCAACTGCACCCTGATCATAATCAGGAATGCCTTGGCGGACAGCAGCAGAGGCACCAGGAAGTACACGCTGGAAATCACGATTTTGAGAAGCTTCATCACGAGCCAGTCGCTGTCTAGGATGTCGGGGAGGTGAGGCATCCAGAGGTTCTCCCTGGGAAATAACCAATGGGCTCTGGTCACCTGACAGTTGGTAAGACTCCTCTCAACCATGGCTTGCCCCCTCCTCCAGAGCCACCAATGCCCTGGAGACCTGTCCTACCTTCAGGAAGAGCCCCTCAGACTCGGAACCAGCTCTAGCTGGGTCTTGGTTCTGTTGCGACCCAAGCAGGTTCCTCCGTCTCCGTGAACCTCAATTTCCTCCTCTAGAAGATGGTGATACCTGCACCACCTACTTCAACGCAATCCTATTCAACAAGTGCCTATTGTATGCCAGACACCAGGCTGGGTGTCAGGGGACCTGGATTTGAGGCTCAGCCAAGCCATTTACTAGGTCTGGGAGAGTGAACGAGACATCTAATCTCTCCGGGCCTGTTTTTCATCAGGAAAATGGAGATCTTCCCACTGACACTCCCCACCTTGTCTCCCAAGTCTTCTTTTGTTTGAGATAAATATTCTCAGTTCCCTTCCCTATCCTCCTATGGCATGACCTCATCCAGTCCCTTCCCTTATTCTAGCTGCCCTCCCCCTGGCACTGGTCAGCTTATCTCAATCCTTCCTAAACTGGGGAGGCTAGACCTGAAGCTAGCCATCCAGCTGCGGTACGCTCAACGCAGAGAACGGCATACCATCACCTCCCTGGTCCTAGACACCATAGACCCTTAGTGCTGTGAAAACTCATGGTAGTTGTTATTGGACTCCATTATTTCCTTTCTCCTTTATCCATTGTCTCATCTTCAAATTGGGATGCTCAGCCCTTCCCCATCTCTCTTGATGGTGTTCTCGCAAGGATCCGGTGTCATCATAGATGGGTGTGAAGGGTTCGTAAAGCAGCAAATGTACAGAAACTCTCAGTCCCACTTTAGAGCCTGTTTCTCCAGGTTGCGCCAGAGAGCAGAAGGCCCTTCCAGCTACTTTAGGGCCCTCTTTGTGCAGATTTCACCCCTTTCCCTCAATCCTCTCCTCCTCATTCAGTGGGCCGAGGACAGAGGTCCTCCCACCTCCTGCTCTTTCCTGTGAGCCATCAGAAGCCCTCGGACCATCCAGCTATTCTCAGCAGCCAGCAATGCCCAAGCAAAGCAATCTTCCCTGTTGCTAGCCCCAGCTCATCCATCACACTGGCAACGTGAGTATATACACAAGTGTGGGGCAGGGGAGCGCTCACTCATCATGCTGTTCGCTCAATAACTTGGTCAGCTTAGACAGCGAATGATGAGCAATGTGGTCATTATCATAATAGGCCCCTGCTAGCTTCTGTTCAGCCACCGAATAAGCAAGAGAGGGGCCTGGGCACCATTCCCCACACCAGCTCTGCTGAAGGTGTGCCCCTCCCCAGGAGGGCTTTATCCTGCCCCCCCCCCCAGCTCTCTGCGCTGGCCCCAGGCTGTTAGTGAAGGAGAAGGGAGGGCAGGGTGAGAGTGGAGTGTCTGTTTTGATAATGACCAGGCCTCACACCTATAAGTGATACACCATCTTGTAACAGTAGTCCAAAGGTAAATGTAGGAAGGAAAAATGTAAAGTAATTGGGGATGACTTTCCCACTGAGATAAATAAGGGTACACAGAAGGCTAATATAGTCAGTACCCCCTCAACATAACACACATATCTTCAGAATGTATTCATAACTGTAGCAGCCAGAGCTCGGAACTGTAGCTTTCCTCACCCCAACACATACCACCACCCCCCTCCTCAGAAAGCCATCAGTGCAGGAGTCTATAAAACTCATTTGAACCTCTTAGGCGATCTCCAGTAGCAGGCAAAAGAGAAAAATGGCCATTGGGCCTTCCCTGTGAGGCACTAAGCTGCCCACAGACCCCTGATGCCCTTCCCCATTCTGCTTGCTGAAGAGGTCTATCCTCTGGGGGGGAGGCCGGTGACCTTTGCTTTGGTAGCCTGAACTGAAGTACCCTGGGATGAAGACCTGTAAAATGAGGGTGCTCGACCAAACGCACTGGAAGGTCCCCTCTAACTCTGCCATCCTTGGATAATGTAGTATGTGCCTAGCGTGGAGTAGGCGTGTCATAATTGCTTACTTAATTGTATGAAGGCACAATCCATGCCTATGATGGGCAAACCTTTTCTATCTTCTTCACCAGAATCTTTGGTGACTATGCAGGCTTCCATCTAGACTAGAGAATTTGGAGTCCTATGAAAGAGAATGGGAAGAGGAGAAAGAAGAGTTGGAAGGGCTCCAGGCCTCCTGGAGGCTCCTTTACTCACTCGAGGCTGATCAGATACAAGTTCTGGTAGATGAATCGGGGAGAAGAAACAGCTATCGCCAAAGTCCAAATCACTGCAACTCTCGTCAGATGTTTCGTCATCATAGCCCCGAAAGTCAAAGGGCGGAGAATAGGCTGAAAGGGAAATGCCCCTGTGAGACTTGGCAAGGAGAAAGGCTGCCAGGTACCCTGATCACAGCCCAGATGCCCACACGCCACACTCCCCAAACTGCTGCCTCCCCTCAATTGGCCCAAGCTGAATGACGGTGTCAACCAACTCTTGGAGGCACCCCCCCCCCAACCTTCACAGCTGGCTCCTGAATCCAACCCAGGACATGCAGTAAAACTGGTCACCCAGCATCCACCCTTCTTTGCCCTCCATACACGCGCATACACTCCTAGATAAGCTCAGGCTTACCAGGGGGAGGTCCAAGAGGGCGAAGGCCAATGTCATCGTTGCGGTGCTCAGGGAAAAATGAACGAGACGGAATATGAAACACAAAATCCGGCCTAGCATCGTCGCCTTGTTGTTCTCTCGCACCTGATGGCCAAAACAGGGAGCGTCAGTAAGCACGTGAGTGTGGGGAGGCTAGCTGGGTTATTGAGGCAAGGGGCAGGAGGCCAGGGGGTTTGGGAGAGAGCTCAGGCCTCAAATGGCACCTCTTTGCTTCTTATTGTCCTTCCCTGGACCATCTTAGTACTAGTATGGCACTATGCCCACCCTATTCCTGGTGTAGGTAGGGATGACGGAACAGAAATGCCTTTTCCACTTGTAAAATGAGCATTGACTAACTACAACAGAAAAGGCTTGAGAATGTTGGGAATCAAGGGACAGAGTTCTAGTCCTGACTGCCCCAATATACTGTGTGGCCTCAGACCAGTCACTTGGCTTCTCTCAGCCTCAGTTTCCTTATCTACAAAAAGAAGAAGATTGGAGGAAATGACCTCTGAGCTTCTCTCTGGTTCTTGGCTCTACAGTCCTGAGTCATTGCCAGGGAGGAGAAGGTGGAAAGGAAGGCCAACCACCAGCCTTGGGACAGACTCACTTACCACGCTGAAAGGCATAGCGAACAGGGACCATAGCAGATCCATGGGAGCGATCTGGCGGATGAGCCTGTCGGCGGCGAGGCGGATGAGAGGGTGTCGGATGAACATCTCGCACAGCTTCAGATTGCCGAACAGGGAAAAAGCAACCGCACAGGCGTAGGCAAGCATGGTCACCATCCTCACTTTGGTTAGTGGGCCGCCCCACTTGGCTTGCTCCTTTGCTGCAGACTGATCCCATGAGTAGCTGTGGTTGCTGCTATTAGATGAGAAGGTTGAGCGGTTCCAAAGGACAGGGCCAAACCAGGTGAGAAGGTCCGGGACGACAATACCTGGGGGATTTGCCTTGGGAAAACTTTCGTTCATTGCTGGGCCTTTGTGGTTGACTGGGGCCCAAGGGACGGACTGCAGCCCAACCTGGGCCAAACTTGTGCCTAGGAAAGAGGCCACTGTTTGCCCAGAGAACTGCAGTCCTGGACAAAGGAGTTTGAGAGATTTGTGTGCTGAGGACCAACTAAAGAGGAGGCAAGGTCACTTCTGGGCTTGGGTATCCAGAGGGAAATCTAGCTAGGGAAGGGTGGGGGGAAACAGAGGGAAAGGGGAAGGGGAGAGGGGGGAGGAAGAAGGATGGAGAAAGAAGGGAGGAAGGAGAAGAGGGATGGGGTAGGGGAAGAGAAATGGGGAATGGAGAATGGGGGTACAGTAGGGAGGGGGGAGGGGGAAGGGGACTGGAGACTGGGGAAAGAGAGGGAGGGGAGGGGGAAGGAGGGAGGGAGAAGGAGGGGAAAGAGGGATAGGGAAATGGGGAGGGGGAGAGGGAACAAGGGAGGGAGGGGGAGAAAGGAAAGGGAAGAGGAAAATGGATAGGGAAAAGAGGAAGAAGAGAGAGGGGGAAGGGGACTGAGGAAAGAGGGGAGGGAGGGGGAGGAAGGGAAGAGAGAGGGAAGAAAGCTAGGAAAAGGGTGAGAAGAGGGAGCAGGGGAGGGAGGGTGAACAGGGAGGGAGGGGGAGGAAGGGAGGGAAGAGCCAGGGAAGGGAGGGGGAGCAGGAGAAAGAGGGAGGGAGGAGCAAGAAAAGGGAGGGGGAGCAGTGGAGGGAGGTAGGGAGGAGCTAGGGAGGAGGGAGGAGCCAGGGAAGGGAGGGGAGCAGGAGAGAGAGGGAGGGAGGAGCAAGAGAAGGGGGGGAGCAGGGGAGGGAGGTAGGGAGGAGCTAGGGAGGGAGGGGGAGCAGGGGAGGGAGGTAGGGAGGAGCTAGGGAGGGAGGGAGGAGCCAGGGAAGGGAGGGGGAGCAGAGAGAGGGGAGGGAGGAGCAAGAGAAGGGAGGGGGAGCAGGGGAGGGAGGTAGGGAGGAGCTAGGGAGGGAGGGAGGAGCCAGGGAAGGGAGGGGGAGCAGGAGAGAGGGGGAGGGAGGAGCAAGAGAAGGGAGGGGGAGCAGGGGAGGGAGGTAGGGAGGAGCTAGGAGGGAGGGAGGAGCCAGGGAAGGGAGGGGGAGCAGGAGAGAGGGGAGGGAGGAGCAAGAGAAGGGAGGGGAGCAGGGGAGGGAGGTAGGGAGGAGCTAGGAGGGAGGGAGGAGCCAGGGAAGGGAGGGGAGCAGGAGAGAGGGGAGGGAGGAGCAAGAGAAGGGAGGGGGAGCAGGGGAGGGAGGTAGGGAGGAGCTAGGGAGGGAGGGAGGAGCCAGGGAAGGGAGGGGGAGCAGGAGAGAGGAGCAAGAGAAGGGAGGGGGAGCAGGGGAGGGAGGGGGGAGGAGCCGGGGAGGGAGGGGGAGCCGGGGAGGGAGGGGGAGCAAGGGAGGGAGGGGGAGCAAGGGAAGGGAGGGGGAGCAGGGGAGGGAGGGAGGAGCCAGAGAACGGAGAGGGAGCGAGGGAGGGGGAGCGAGGGAGGGGGAGCGAGGGAGGGGGAGCGAGGGAGGAGGAAAAGAGCTGGGGAAATGTGTGGGAGAAGGCAGAGCTAGGGGGAGTTGGGAGAAAAAGCCTTTTCAGTGATGCTTTGAGTCCCTCTTTCCCTCCTATGGGCAGGACTGGGGATCAGTTCTGAGCTGCAGTTCCCTGCCCCCCCACACCCCTTAGGCCTAGGGTCTGTCTCCTACTGGGCATGTGAACCCTGTCACAGTCACCTCATTTCTTAGGGACTCTAAAAACCAAATCACTCCCCCTCCCTCCAAGAAAACGACAGCAACAATAAGCAATTATCAGATTTGGTCAATCTTATTTTCCTTAAAGACATACCTACATGCAAATGGTCTGAATTCATTAGCCCTTTGTTGTCTCAACCAGTCAAAACCAGTCAGCTAGTGGACCCCAAATGCTGAAGTGGGAGGGTTTCTGTTGTTCCCTGCCTCTGTAGACTCTACAGAACCCAGCAGGTAACACTCGCACTCCATATAGACCCACAGCTGCTGCCTCCCCCCCACCAGCCCCTACCCCTCAGATCCTGGCCCACATTGGTCCAACTCACCCCTCCACCTCCAAAAGCCGTGCTCCACCCCACACGCATAGCCTGCCTTCTCTTTCAGGACCCAATTCACTCTCATTTACCCCTTCTTAATTAAGGAGCCTCCTTCCCCTACACAGCTCTCTCAATACCCACTGTTTCCCTGTTGTAGGGATGAAGTCCCTGGCTAGGTAGGGGCGAAAGGGGGCGCTGGAGCTGAAGAGACATGATTAAGGGGCCCCAGACAGAGTACAAATGCTAGGCAGTTCACTACAGATATCAAGGGCTCTGAGGAGGGGGAAGATTACTAAGTGTTGACCCTAGAATCCTATAGTATCTGAGCTAAAGGGCATCTACTTCAATATGCACCTTCAAAAAATTTTCCAAAAAAAAAAAAAAAGAAAAGAATTTCCCCCCTACAACAACCCTGACAAATGACTGCCTGACCTTTTCTTGAATACCCAAAGTGACAAGGAGCTCACTACTCAGGCTTTTTGCCTGTCAGGAGATAGAGATTTCAAGTAGCAGCTCTGCCACTGCCTCCTTCCGTGAGGGAAAGAGCTGCTCTCTGAGCCTCAGCTTCCCCCTCTGTAAAATGGGGGTGTCAGGCTAACTGACCTCTAAGGTCCCTCTTAGCTCTGCTATTCTCTCATCTCTCCCAGTCGTGGCATTCTGTGTTCCTGCCCCAGCCCTTCCATCCCCTGCTCTCACACCTGTGTTCTGAGAGGCCTCCCGGTTTAGTATTCTGTGATAGGAAGGAAGCATCAGACTAGGTTGAACAGGAATTGACTAGACAGAGAAACGCACTTGTTTTTGCATTGGGATTTCACCATAACAATCCTTGGATATCATCTTATTAATTTATAGATGCCTCTGATTTACCATATTGGCTTGCCTTAAACTGAATTCTGATGCCTATCCTAAAGAGATATGCCATATTTTTTGCAGGTGGGTGTGTGTGTGTGTGTGTGTGTGTGTGTGTGTGTGTGTGTGTGTGTGTGTGTTGTGTGAGAGAGAGAGAGAGAAAGAGAGAGAGAGAGAGAGAAATAGAGAGAGAGAGAGAGAGAGAGAGAGACAGACAGACAGACAGACAGACAGAGACACACAGAGAGAGGGTGTCTGGGGCAGGGAGAAGAGACTGAAGAGAGAGAGGGACAGCGAAAACCCCAAGGGACTCCTAGACTACCTTTGAGGTGCTGTGATGGTGGGGGGCAGAAGAGAGGCAGAAAAAAGAATAGGCACCTGGAGGCTAGCTGGAAGGCTAAAATGCCAACTGTAGGGGTTACAAGAGATTTGGATCTACATGTAGTTTATAGCACTATTTCCCGCCCCCCCCCATACCCCCACCCCTACACTGGCTGGCTGGTCTCTGAGAATGAAAAGGATCCCAGATTTTAAAAGCATTTCTTTGGCCAAAGGAGCTACTTAGCAAATGGTGGATGTCCCCGTGACTCTTTACTGTGCCTCATCTAGGCCCAGGAGCTGGGGAGGGGCTTGGCCTGAGGATTCTGGAAGGGAGGGGTAAAGGGGGGGGGATGAGGAAAAGGGCATAAGATAAACATCATTGGAATCTCAGTTGGGGTGAGAGCATAAGGGAGAAAAAGAAGAGAAAGAAATAAGGATTTCTATAGCATCTACTAGGAGCCAGGCACTGTGCTAAACACTTTTTACAAATATTATCTTATTTAATCCTTACAACAATCCTTTGAGGTAGGTGCTATTAGTATCTTTATTTTACAGTTGAGGAAACTGAGGCAGAGGTACTCAGGTGCCTAGAGCTCTTGGGAAGATTATTTTTTTTAACATAGAAGGCCTTCTCAAAAATCCCTACCTGTAAAGAGTAATTTCATGTACATACCACCTCCTGTCAACAGCATCATTGGGAACATTTAAAAACAGCATTTAAGACCCACTGAAGTCCCTACTGTGTGCCCAGCCTTGTATTGGATATCTCTGGAGCCCACACCTTTGATACAGTTTGGAGTGAGCCCTCCCACCCTCCCCACTGGCAGTGCCCCGCTCCCCCTTCCCTCCCTCATTAACCCCCCCCTGGCCCCACCCCTTGCGGCAGCCACTGCCCCTTCCCCCAGGATTAGAGCACAGACAATAGGGGGGAGAAAGCAATGAATTCAGATTCAGAGGACCAAAATTGAAACCTGACTCTGCCCCTCCCTCTCTGAGTGATGCTGGCTTATCTGCCCCCTGATTCTCAGTTTCTTCATATGTAAAATGAAAGGTGTCTGCCATTTCTACAAAATTTTCAGTTATTTTCTCTCTTTTCTCTGGCCCTGCCTTAGCCACTGGAGATGAGTTGTTGTTTTTTTCCGAGGCCTGCCGCCATTTTCCCATCATTAAAATGGGAGAGGGGCAATTAGGAGATTCCCAGATCTCTCAATCCTCAGCGACCCTTGATCTGAGGGGTAACTGGGCAAGAACCCCACCCAAGGTGGCTATGCTGTGGGCAAAGCTTTGGGGAGTGAGCCCCAGAAGTGTGGGGGGGGCTTTTTCCTGCCTATTCCCCTAGAAAGAACCTCACAGAGCAAAACCCTAGACAAAACACTTCCTCCCCATTTTGTCCCTGACTCACACATGCTGCCTCTACCTCAGTTTTCCTACCTCTTGCCCATATTTACCCC